GTGTGAACAAGGAGCCCTAGCTTTGCCCACACTCTGCTCACAACCAGTTGCTGGCCGGACCTCCAGGGTTAAGCGGCTCCGCAAAAGCAGGCTGAGGTGACTTCCTCAAGAAATGGGGGAGCAAGGAAAGGATTCTGACTCTGACTCAGTTTCCAGTGTGCACCTGGGACAGAACAGCGATAGGCCAGTCCTCACTCAGACTCTAAAGATGAAGCCAGACAAAAGGTGGGAGAAGAAACAGATACATGAAGTTACTCACCCAAGGTCACCCAGCAGAGCCAGGAATTAAAACACAGTCTTATGAGTTGCAGCGTAATGCCCAATCTGCTAGCCCCCCACGGCCCTGCATTCGAGCCCTTTGTGCATTCAAAATCCCCATTGGAGAGGGTATACATTTGTGGGGAATAAGGAGCTCCTAATGAGGGTTTAAATATAAGAAAGATGCCTAAAAATGCTAGGGCATCCTTAGGGAAGGAAATCAACTGGGAGAGAGAACACAGTGTTAGGGTTGCCAGGTGGTTTCAACAAAAATATCAGACACACTTGACATTACATCACAATTTTCATTACATCTTATTTAGAAAATCATGGACATTTATATTTTCTCAATTTGTTTCTCGAACAGAAAACTCAAATACTGGACTGTCCAGTTCAAAACCAGACACCTGGAAACCTTACAGAGTGTGGGATTGACTAGGAAAGTTTTTTTTCCTCCCTGATTAACATGGCATATCATGTACCAATGTGACTACGGGAATGAAAGAGCAGTTCATTATGCAGTGTATCAGTTTGAGACTAATACTAATTAAAAGCTTTCCTTTCACTCCAGTGAAACCTATTCTTAGAAATTATGTCAGTTAATTGGAGTTTTGAAGAGAAGCATATGCCGTATCCTAGCCAATTCCCAGTGGACTAAAGCAGTCAGATCCCTGGAATTGGAGGACTGTGTTTTGGGATCCTTCCTCCCCCATTCTCCACTGCTGTGCTGGTGAAAGTGTGGTTTAAGACATTTTTCATAAATGTTGTTGGACAACAAGCTGTCAGGATTGCTCAGATGAATCTAGAGTCTAACTAGCGTTAGGGGCGATGCAAATGTAATGAGAAAAAGATTCCAAAATGACACACCCTTGTGCTCCTTCATTCTTATGCAACAATTGAAAACAAAAAACAAATCAGCCTCCTCCCATTCCCCACCTTTCCCGAATCCTCCTGCCCTATGCAGAATTTTGACCCCTGAAAGAAATGCCAAAGATTCCATAAGGTCCACTAGGGGCTTTATATGCAAGGTGCTCTGGGTATGTCTACACTAGCTCGTCAATTCGAGCTAGGTAGGCAAATGAGGCGACCGGAGTTGCAAATGAAACCCGGGATTTAAATATCCCGTGCTTTATTTGCATGTTCCCGTCTGGTCGCCATTTTGAAATTTCACTAGCCCGAACTCACTGCCACGCGGCTACACACGGCCATGAAATGTTAATTTGAACTAAGTCCTTAGTTCGAATTAACTGTTACTCCTCGCCTCATTTGCCTACCTAGCTCGAATTAACGAGCAAATGTAGACATACCCTCAGAGATTAGGATGATGACCTGCAAAATAAGCTCTGAAGGCAGACAGGAAGGGATAGGGATGTGTTTCTGAAATAAAATGCTACAAATTGTTGGACTTTTTAAGATTTGTTCTTTCACTTGAAGTAATTTTATCTTTAAAAAAGCAACACCAAAAGCTAGCTATAGAAAATCAATTGCATAAATGGGTTCCGATGAAAGTGATCTTCAATCTGTTCAAGGTATTTAGACTGCAATAAGCAAAATACTTCAGCATGGACTTCACTTTAAGCAAACGAGCAGTTGTGGTCAGCCAGGCCACGCACATGTTTGAAGTTAATCATGTGTTTAGGTGCTTTGCTGGATCTGGGCTTTTAAAACGCCTTGACACTTGAGAATAGACCATATCCCAGATCTGGGGGAAGATGCTGTAGTCCAAACCTAGTTCTCAAGAGGACATTTTGCAAACGACCCCTCGCTGTGTACTCTGAAGCAAATGGCTGGCGCATATGAAACATGGGACCAAACTTCATTGCCGGACCCTGTGTGTGTAACTGGGCAAATCAAAACCCTTGAAATTTAGGCTTTGGGTCTGAATTTTGCAGCCAAGCCCCCCTCTCTATCAAAACGTTCAGTGGCAAAGATGAAGATTTTGGTGGCGATGATGATGAAGCATCGATTATGCTCTCGATGCTAGGCCTGCTGACGGGCGGGGGAGCGGAGGAGGCAGACAAAGGGGGCAGTTGCTCCAGAGCCTGGTGATTCAAAGGGGCCCAAAACTCTGGCCACTACTGCCAAAGTAGCAGTGGCTGGAATCCCAGGCCATTTAAATTGTTGTCTTGAGTGCCGTGCTGCCAGTTAAGGGCTGGACAGTGGAGGGGGGACACACTCCAGGCAGCACTGAGGGCTGGCTGCTCTTAGCTCGACCCCTTCTCGGAATGTGGAGCCACTCCTCCCCCCACACTTTGCTGAGGGTCCTGCACAGGCTGTCAGCGCCGCTGCTTTAGACACGATTTACACTTGGCCTTCCCCTTTTTGAGTTGTCGCCTTAACCCGTGAACAATCCCATTGAATCCTCCAATAACTGCCTACGGGAAGGCTGCTGGAAATGGGACGTTGCCTTCTTGTGGGCCAGACGGTGCCATAATGCCTGAGCAGGACTGGGCCCCTGCCAGGGGAGATGATAACTCGCAAACACGAGACAGTGTCTCAAGTCGTGGCCTCTCTGTGCCTCGGTTTCTCCATCTGTAACAGGCGGCTAGTAATACTGTCCTCTTTGTAAAGCATTTTGAGATCTACAGGTGAAAAGACTTATAGACCATTATGATTAATGGCTAAAATACAGAACTCGGTTCCTTTCCCTGCTGCTAATTTACTGCGTCACTTTGGGCAGTTAACTTAACCTGCTGCTGTTTCCCTTATCTGCAAAATGGAGAAAGTAATATCTCCTCAGCAGTAAGGATGCATTAACGGTTTTTCGAGTGCTTTGAGATCCTCAGAGGAAAGGTACCATAAAAATGCAAAGCAAAATTAAGACAATGATTCCTCCGTCTCTCCTTAAGTTTGCAAAACCCTTTCTTCAATGTCACTAGGAACACAAGCTCCCCAAAATAGAAACCGTTAAATCTGTAAGTAAAGACAGTTCTGTGGGTAAAAAATGACATATCACTTTGAATCAATATAAAACCACTTTAGGACAAGAATATAACATGTAGCGGGGAATGTAGAAGGGAATGGCATTGCCAAGTATATTAGATAGAAGTAGGTTTTCTCCATGCAATTTAGAGTTCTGCACATTTTTTTAAAGTGAAACACCACCACCTATCGCAGGAGATGTCCTGGCTAATGGATTGATGGTTCGGATATACTGTTTTACTACCGAGAGGCGATCACTCTTGAGCTAATAAAACTGAAACATGATCCTTAATTCAATCTGGTCCTGGAATGCCTTTTCTGAGGATATGGGTGTCTAAGTAATAGGGACATGACTTGCCTGTCTCTTGCAAAGGATAAACAGACACTAAGGTGTCTGTTTATGGCCAGTTTCTGCTACTCATATCCCCATAGTAACTTATTGCAACTGAAATCTTGCAGCATAAGGTGCTGCTGAGTAAGATAATATTATCTGAGCACTTCTCAGACTTTATAACCCTCACAACTCTCCTGTGAAGTAGGGACAGACTAATAGTTCCATTTTACAGATGGAAGACGGAGGCACGGAGACATTAGGTGACTCCCCCAAGATCACATAACAAGCTTTGGCAAAGCTGGGATTAAATGTGGATCTCCCGTATCCCAGCCTAATGCAGTAGCTACTGGTACCATCCTTCCTCTTAGATGGGTAGACTCAGAGTCTGGCTAATTTGGCACCTGAGGCAAGACCGTCCTTGGTGGAGGTGGGGGTGCTGACATGGCGCAAGGCATGAGCGAAGACAGAATAGTAGCTGTCATTTCTGCGCCCCCTCAGCTATGCGCCTGAGGCAAGTGCCTCACTTGGCTTGCCCTTGTTACGGCACTGGGGAGACTCTGGCCTTTAGTTATGTAAGGGGATTTAGCGTTTGTCGAGGGCCCTGTCCTGGGGCCAGAAGTCCTTTACTTATGCATGGCTCTCATCTAGTGCTGTGCCTTGCCTCATCTGCTAGAGGGCCTGATTTTAGTCACTGGGCCTGATTTTGTGTTTCCAATGCTTGGGCAGAATCAGGGTTGGAGATAAGTTAAGGTCTCTTTAAGCTACATTTCTCCTGTCCATGTTCTTGTGTCTTGTAGAAACTGGTCTAGCTCACTGTGTAAATTTAGAGCAGCCTTTGGGCTGCTCTCATCTCTACACAGCTTCCAGACTCCCCCATTGGGCCTAGGGAAATGGAGAATAGCTATAGGGCAGTACATTCTAGCCACACCCCTGATATTCCCGAGATGCACCAGTTTGCCCCACATGCTCAGGGTGGGAACAGGGATGGCCTAGATCCTTACACCAGTTGAGGGATCCCATAAACAGGTATATATTCTAAGTCACCCATTTCTGTCCCAGGCAAGATCCCTTTATGCTGTCAGGTCAGCACAGAGGCACCTTCATGAAAATGAAAATCAAGCTGCCCACAGTTACTACCCACTGACATCCAATGAGAAATTGCAGGTGAAGTCAGTGGCCATTGTGGTTGTTGAAGGAAATATCCCTCCAATGGGATCCAAGCATTAGTAGGGGAGCCGTTCAGTCTCTCTCCTGTCCTAGACTGCCTTAAAAGTTTATACATGGTTCCTTACTGTTCTTAGAAAAATTGTCCACCAAGAGAAAGCATTCAGAGCCACACAGCAACATGTTAATTAGGGCAGGCAGATTCATGACTTCAGGCAAATGTACCTCTTGTAAATGAAAATGCAGTTGCACTTGGTTCTCAAAAGTTTGTGGCTGGTATCGCTGACACACAAGGTCGCTTGTTTCCTGTATATATGCATAGGATCATGCTGATTTGAGGAGCCACTTCTTCACAGTGGGGATGAAGCTGGAGGCAGTGGACATGCAAGAGCCCTTTAATATCTGTCCTGCATCAGTGACTAAGGTGAGCTCTTGCCAGTGGGACCGAAAATACCATGCTGGCCCCAAATTGCAGGTTAATAACCACTCCTGGTTAATAATCCCATTTAAATAACTATCCAGTGGAATTTCATTAGCTGGAGGTCAGAGATCAGAATAATAAATGTGCATCAAACAATCCTTGCACTTCATCTTGCTCTCTCTCATAATGGACCACCATGTATTTTTATTGTGATGCTTGGCACAGGGTGATGTTTCCCATTTGATTCACACATGGAAGGGACCCCGTGTGCAGAGGCACAGGGTGATGTTTCCCATTTGATTTACACATGGAAGGGACCCTGTGTGCAGATCTCACACACACACATGGGCAGCCCAGTCCCCTCTTTCTTGTAACACCGTCTCTCCTTCCCTGGCAATACAGAAAGGATCTGTGTATCAGGGAAACCACATCAGATGAGGGGCCAGTGAGACATGCGTGTTTTCACCCTCCTGCCCAATAGAGCTGATACGGAGCGGGTGGTAACACAGGCATAGGTGATTGGTGGTAGTATGTGGAAGCTGTACTGCCCCCCTCTGTGCTCCTGGCAAAATTTTAATTGCTAATTGGGGTGCCTGCACATATCCTCTCTGTTCCTCTGAGTGACCCTCCTGGCAGGCGCCAGTCACTTATGGACACACAGATTCCATAGGGAAAGGGAGTGGGAAGTGTAGGGGCTTGCTTCCCTAAATCACACTAAAACCTCTTTCCGTACCCCCTTGCCTCTGACCCTGAAAAAAGGGAGCACATCTTCATGCTTGCATCGAGTTCCAAAACAACAGATGGACGATTCGTGCCTCTGACCCTGAAAAAAGGGAGCACATCCTCATGCTTGCATTGAGTTCCTAAACAACAGATGGACGATTCATTCTGCTGTCCTTTCTATCTCAGCAATTACCTGGCGCTTTTCAGGCCAACTTTTTGATCGGGGTCTGGTCTGTTAAAATGGCACCTAACACTGCTGTCCTTTCTATCTCAGCAATTACTTGGCGCTTTTAAGGCCAACTTTTTGATCGGGCACTGGTCTGTTAAAATGGCACCTAACGCCTGCATTGCCTTTTCTGGTTAGGTAATGCCACCCTTTAGGTTCTCCGTGCCCACATTGGTAGCTGAGAATGCTGCACTACCCAGGAAGTGCCAGAAGCAGCAGGCATGCCCACTAAGCATCTGTCTGGACTATCTAGCAGATGGCTCTTGCAGCAGGCAATAAGGCCACCTTTGCCTGTCATTATAGAAGGATTAGATCCTGATAGTCCACACACAAGCTGGGTTGGAGATGGAGTGTGCAGCGTAAGCAGCTGAGAGGAGCTGGCTTGGGAATTCACTACGCCTCCCTTAGCAGCGTTCTACTCTGTCTGTCCTTTGGTATAAAGGCCACACCCACAACCAAGCTGGACACGCCCTTCCAGCTGCTTTAGCCAGTTTACTCCTGTTGCGTCAACTGGGCTGGTGATCACGTGTTGTGGAGCCCCACTCCTGCGCCTTTGAAGTCAGTACTGTTGGTTTCAGTGGATGCAGAATCAAGCCAGGCACAGATCAAGCGGAAAGAGACTCCTGGCCCCTTTCAATCTCCAGCCCAGGATGAGCCAGGATTTATTCCTCACAAACTCAATGGATCAGCAGCCCCAGAATCTGAGATGGTGCCCCAGCATGCTTAGATGGCATGAAATCAATAGTTTCCATGCGACACATTAGCAAGTACGTTATCATCCCTCTTACCTGGCTGGATGAAAGTCATTGCCACAATGCTCAGGTGACACACTTCAGGCCAGGTTCCTTCCTCGGCGGCCCACACGTGACTCTCATGGAGGACCCAGTTCACCGGGTGTGGCCCTTGGTAGAGGTGACTGGACACAACAGGTGGAATTCACCCCTGTGCCAAAGGACAGCACAAGGCCCAGGGCCCTTTAAATACTGCCATTCCCCTGTTTGGAGTGGGAGGCAAGAAATGCCTGCTGTTTGCTGGCTCCCTGCATATAGATGAGTCTCACCCACACTTCAGACATGATCAGTGCAACTCCTGGTTCCCTCCCTCGCTATGGCGTTTCACGAGCCCATGTGAATTTCATCTAGTTTGACTGTCTATGCTGATAAAGGAGCCCTCCTGGAAGATACCCACATAATAAGCTATGGAGAATTATACTGACAACCAGGCATGGATGCGTGTTTTTTATGCCAGTCTTGTGTGTGTTGCAGTAAATTAACAATGGCCTGCTTTCTTCCCTTCAGGTTTTTAACAATCATTATTTACAAGTGACCATTGATGACCTGAGACCTGAACCCAGCAAAATCTCAATGCTTTGCCATGCTGATTCCTTAGGGATCTTACCAGTACAATGGTGCCTTAAAAACGGAGTCAATCTCACACCTCCCAAGGGTCTGTATTATATGTTTTAAGGGCTGGTATTTTGTTGTTGCTTTTTTCCCTGCTAAAAGACAAACCGGTTCTCTTGATGCCTTAAAAAAACCCATGTTCCAATTTATATTGGAAGTGAGACAGCTAATTGTCTGAAAAAATTTCATGAAATGATATGGGCTAAATACACAGCTGGAGTGAATTCGAGGAGCTAAGGAGCTAGTCTTATATGTGGTTTTATTTGTGTATGATGTGCTGTGCTGCAGTTGATTAAAACACCTAATATCCTGGAACTGACACTGCTACCAAAACACAGAATATAAAGAATTCTTGTAATGTGGATGTTTATAAAACTCACCACCCTCCTGGTGCTGTTTGAACATTGAAGGCCATATTCTGATCCCTTCATTGCTATAGCCAGAGAGGAAGGATAGTCCAATAGCCTAGGATTTGGGAAATGTGGGTTCAAATCTTGCCTCTCTTGCATTTTTCCTGTTTGGAGTTGGGCAAGTCCTTTAAGATCTCTGAGGGTTATTTCCCCATCTGTAAAATGGGATAATAACTGCTCTGCTAGAGGTTGCATCTACACTACACCTTTATCTTGAAATAAATTACCCAACTGGAGCTACGCAAATTGTGTGGCTTATTTTGAGTGTATTTCAAAATAGCTTATTTTGTCATTTCGAAATAAATTCATATTCTGACATGTCCCTTAATCCCCATAGAACAAGGTTGACAGGGACCTCAGAATAGTGTGCCTCATTTTTCAAAAGATATTTCGAAATAACGGGTGTGCTGTCAAGATGCAGAATAGCTATTTCGGATACCGGAAGTATCTTGAAAAAGCGCTGTAGTGTAGACATACACTTAGATATATTAAACATTGTGAGGTGCTCAGATAATATAGCAAGTAGTCACAGGAGATGGAGCAGCCCAGAGCTAGTTTACATGAGTGGTCCACCGATTTCAAAGATTCTGGAGATGGGGTCCTAAGGCCCAAAGAACGCACAATATGCTGGTGGGAGAATTAGGGTTGGAACAACATTTGCAACAAAATCAGAGAGCTTCCGATGGGAGCGTTTTACATTTCACTTCAGTTCCGACAAATTGCTCCCATTTCAGAAATCCTTGAACAGGGCGTAATTTTTGAAACTCCAAAGTCCATCTATTTCAGTGCAAGCCAGCCATAACCCTGTCATTTTTGTTGTTGTTAAAATTGATAGTCTGGTGGCAGCAAAATCACTTGACTCAACATTGTAATTTTGCCATCATATTGCGGGGGGTGAGAGTTTGTTTAAATGTGAAATAAAAGGCCACTACCCACTAGCCTGTAAACTATTATTTCATTGTCACGCTAATACTGCCAGTGGGCTAAAACTCTGCTCCCAGTGGGCTCACCCATACAAGCTACTGAGCACAGATCTAGCAACACCCTTAAGCAAATGCTTAATCTGAAACCCACGCCTAAATCAGGAACAGCTGTCTACTCAGCTGTATCCCCTTTTATTTTTCTCGTTCTAGGAGAACGAATGTGGCCTCTTGACACTGACCCCAATACTGCTTAAAATCAATGTGCTTGCTTAAATGTTCACAAATGTTTGTTAGGAAAACTCTTTACAGTAGGAGTGGGCAAGATACCTCTCCCGGACCGGATTCGGTATGCCAAGTCACTGGATCTGGCCTGCAGACGCCCCTCCCGGGACCCTCAGGCACGCAGGCAGCGCAGTTTGAAATGCAGGGCTGCTCCATGTGACTCTGTACTCCAGAAGTTGGAGGAAGCTTTACGTGATCTCCTGGCCCCCAGCCCAATCCTCAGCTCCTATTGGCCAGAAACAACCAGCCAATGGGAACTGCAAGACTGGCCTCGGGAATGGGGGCAGCGCAAGCCTTTCCCCCTCCTGGAGCTGAGCACCATGTGGAGGGTGCAGGCTGCATTTTCAATGCTCTGGAGCTGCAGCAGGCAGGGAGCCCAGCCTGCCTTGGGGGTGCTGCAGGCCGGGAGATGCTTATGTAAGCACCTTTCAGCCAAAGGCTGCCTCTGGCACTCCTGCACCCCAACTCCTTCCCCCGAGTCACCTTCCAAACCGTCTTCACCTCCCTGTCCCAGGTCACAACTCGATCCCAGACCCTGCACCCTCTCCTACACCTGTCCCCCAAGCCAGAATCCTCCTGTACCCCCCACTCCTTTCCTGATCCTATACCCCCATCTCCTGACCCAGGTCACAACACCCCCCTTCACCCAAACTCCCTCTTAGACCTCACACCGACTCCTGCTTCCCAGTCCCTTATCCCGTGCGCCCTTCTGCACCCAGCCTCCATCCTAGACCCCGCATCTCCACAGAAAAGTGCAGCCCTTGACCACTTTCCAAAATCTTGGAGTGGCCTCCCCACTAAAAATTATTGCCCATCCCTGCTTTATAGTCTAGTGAAGCCTCTTTTCTGTAGGGCCCGAGCCAAAGCCATTGTCTCTGTAGAGCTTGAGTTTAAGAACATAAGAACGGCCATATTGGGTCAGACCAAAGGTCCATCTAGTCCAGCATCCTGACCTCCTACAGTGGCCAATGCCAAGTGCCCTAGAGAGAATGAACAGAACAGGCAGTCATCGAGTGATCCTACTCCTGTCACTCATTCCCATCCTCTGACAAACAGAGACTAGGGACACCATTCCTCCCCAACCTGGCTAATAAGCATTGATGGACCTATCCTCCAAAAATTTATCTAGTTCTTTTCTGAACCCTGTTAAAGTCCTGGTCTTCATAACATCCTCTGGCAAGGAGTTCCACAGGTTGACTGTGCGCTGAATGAAGAAAAACTTATTTTGGTTTGTTTTAAATCTGCTACCTATTAATTTCATTTGGTGACCCCCAGTTCTTATGTTATGGGAACAAGTAAATAACTTTTCCTTTTTCACTTTCTCCATAACTTTCATGATTTTATAGATCTCTATCATATCCGCTTTTAATCTCCTCTTTTCTAAACTGAAAAGTCACAGTCTTTTTAATCTCTCTTCTTATGGCACCCATTCCAAACCCCTAATCATTTTTGTTGCCCTTTTCTGAACCTTTTCCAATGCCAATATATCTTTTTTGAGATGAAGTGATCACATCTGTATGCAGTATTCAAGATGTGGGTGTACCATAGTTTTATATAGAGGCAATAAGATATTCTCTGTCTTATTCTCTATCCCTTTTTTACCATTTGCGTTACACTTCAGATATACATACACAGGCCTTCTTCCAAGTAGCCTAAAGTCTAATTAGATAAGATAAACCGGGGAAAACTGGGGCACAGAACAGTGAAGTAACTTGCTCAGGGACTCATACTAGGTCACTGGCAGAGCCAGGAGTAGAACCCAGCTCTCCTGATTCCACTGTGCCACAATTATCAGCATCACTGCTCATAAATGTTGGCATTTGCCTACAGCCACCCCATTCTTGACAAAGTAACCGCCATATTCAAAATCCATCTCATAGGGTACATCTACACAGCAAAGTTATTTCGGGATACCAGAGGTATCCTGAAATAGCGACCTCGCGTCCACTCTTTTGAAATACAGTGGACATGCTGTTTTTTCATCCCTGTAAACCTCATTCTACGACGAGTAAGGGATGGCTCGAAATAGCGCTTTATTTCAAAATGTATGCTGTGTAGACAGCACCAAATGACAAAATAAGCTATTTTGAAATAGACTCAAAATAAGCTACGCAATTTGCATAGCGCAAATTGCGTATCTTATTTCAAGTTTTGGGTGCTGTATAGACGCTCCCATAGAGGCCTGTTAATTAACTAAGAAGACACACCATCTCTTTCTCTCTACCGTGGTCTTTGTTTCATAATTTCCATATTACATATTTTCAGTTCAAGGTGATACAAAGGTTTTTGCCTACAGAATTTTATGATTCAGGTTACCTTGATTTCTGCATACAATGCCAAAATTTTTTGGCATGGCAGCAGCATAGCTACTCCTCTCTTGACTACTGTACTTGTTTCTGTACCTGGGCCAGAAATGATTAAGGAGTAAATTAGATGCATCACCTCCCGTGATCTGGTTTCCCAGAGGTTCCTGAGAAATCATTAAAAATCCACCTGATTAAATCCCAGTAACAAATACACATGGAAACCATGCTAAATTAGCACAATGAAAATCTCTTGTCTGCTGGTGGGGGCTGTTGAATTCAGGCTCGTGACGGGGCTGTGTAAGAAATGACATGAGGAACTTGGGAGAAGCCCATACAGAGTATATTAATATATTACTTCTGGTGTGTGTGATGGCTCGATGCCCAAAATACATCTTAACACCCGGCGCGTCAAAAGCTTTTTCGTCTGACAAGCTCTCTGTCTGTCACTCAAATGTGATCAGAGAGCTGAGCGCTTATAAATGTCTGATTTAAAAGTACAGGGGAAAGAAAAATGGATCCAAACTGGCCAACAGTACTGAGGGACCTTATGTAAGTCCATATTTCTCTAGCGCTTTCTGAAAAGTACAGTGTCAACCTTGAGCATTAAAGAAACAAACAGGGCGAGTATAAAAGGGGTGGAGAGCTAGAGAAATTAGTTCTTTCCATAGAGACAACAATAGTGTGAACAGGACACTGATGAAATATACCATATCAGTAAAGATGTAAGAATAATATCATTCCTCACAAAATTCCTACCTGCTATGTAAATTGCAGGTGTCTAGTGCTTGAGCTACTTTCATTTGATCCCATGCTGCGAAGTTTCTGGCCACAATCTTTCCCATGTAGAAAAGACACTGAAGTTACTTGCTCGCAAAATGTTCATCTGTAGAAAAAATCCACAAACTCATATGCAGGAGGAGATAAGAAAGCAAAACCACAGCAGAGAATTTCTTCTTTGTACAAGGAGTCTTTGCTCTTGTATATTGAGACTGTTCTCTGGATAACCTGTCGTGGAGATAAAGATCCGTGATGTTACCTTACTTTGATTGCCTGGGACCAGTGTTTGAAAGGAGATAGGAATAGTTTGTTCCACCAGGCATAGCGTGGCCATTTTAATTACTCAGCATCACCGAGTTTTTTATATCGAGAATATCCACCTTGTTTTCACACATACATCACTGGGTCTTTTGTAAAGCCACGCTTGACAAGAGGAAACGTACAGTAGATGAGTCATGTGCTGGAGTTGTAAACATACGCAGCTAGAAATAGAGTAGAATTTTTATATATAGTGCCAAACATGAATGCCCAGTTCCTACCTCTGTATAAACATTGGACAGGCACTGTTTATATGTATTAGAATTGAATTGATAGACCACTTCCCTTTAGAGTAACAGCCATTGTTTCTTTTTTATGAGTTAGTAAGAGAGGGAAGAACATTTTGGCAGAGCTACTATTTGTAAGGCTTACTAAAGGAACACTGCCTTTAAAACTTTCAGTACATTTGTATTGCTATATTCACTTCTGAGTAAGCTATAAGATACTAGCACATTCTTTTCCCCTCTCTTTCACAGGCAGTATGTCAAACACATTAGTACATTGAACCACAAGAGGATAAGAGTTTGCTAATGCAGCCTTCTAATGAAGTTACTCATTTAGCTCAAGCAAGTGAAGTCTGCAATGTGGATCAGAAGTTCTTAGGTCCAGACATGTTTTACAGGCAGAATTACTGAGTGCCCCCTCTTGCAGTAATCACCTTTCTGCTACTGAATCTCTATATTAGTGAATTGTGGCATACTCATTTGTAGCTCTTCTCCAAGGGCTAAATCCTAACACTCTTGAAGTCAGTACAGGTTGAACCTCTCTAATCTGGCACCCTCAGGACCTGACTGGTGCTGAACCAGAGAATTTGCCAGACCATGGGAGGTCAATATCGTCTAGCAGCATTACCAACACTTCCACTGCTTGCTGGGCTCTTAGAAGACATTTAGGGGTAAATTAGAGCTAAAGAACAGCACAGAACACTGAGAGCCAGGACTGGTAGCTGAAAACAAACTTTATGGAACCATGGGAAACTTGGCCACACCCATGATCAATGTACATCCAGCTAACTAAAATCATGCCAGACCACAGATGTTGCCGGACCAGACAGTGCCGGACTAGAGGAGTTCAACCTGTAGCAAAATTTCCACTAATTTCAATGGTTCAGGATCAGGCTGTAAAACAGTTGTGGAGTGACAGTTATATAGTCTTTTACACCTTCCCAGTGAATCCACTGCCATGTGCCTTTCCCATCTTTGCTGTAAAGCTTAAGTGTAACTCACAGAAAAAGATCCAAAAGCTGTCTGTTGCGTTTTAATTGGAGACAAGAGACCCTTGGAATGTATTCAGCTTTTTATTTCTTCTGACAGCAGTGCATTCTGACCGCTGGTGTCCAAAAGACCTGTCTTCACATATCATTTGCAACTGTCCCTGAGCCTTGTTAGAATTGTTTGGGAGCTGAAGTTAAACAGTTGTAGAGCTTAGGGCTGTAGGATGTTATCATTAAGACAAACACCTGAAGTTAACTAGACTTTTTGTTTTGTTTTCCATTTTGCTGTGTCACACAGAAGACTTACTTGGCTATCAAGATTTTTTTTCCTGGAGCTGGTTGATATATTTCATGTATGGATGTTTTTTGAAGAAAAATTGTTTTTCTTCAATGAAATTTTTGCAGAAAAATTTTGTTGTTGTAACTTTTCCTCATTATCTGTGAAGAACCAAGAAAAAATGAAAAAGAGGAAAAAATAAAAAAGAATTAAAAGGAACAGAAAACAAATGTTTTCTTTTCTCAGATCTGAGCATTTTTGTGATCCATTTTGTGTCACAAAGCCCCAAAATTGTCCACACAAAAACCCACACAAACAAACAAAAAAACACCTTTCAATGAAAAACCATTCCTGGACCTTGATTGTTTCCTTGTGAATTTCCATTTTTTGAGATAACACTTCACAGGGGTGTTGTGAGGATCAGTACATTAAAGCATGTGAGGTACTCAGATTTTATGGGGATGGAGGCTCTGGAAATCCTTAAGCTTATCTAGAATTGGAATAGAGTAAAATTTAAAAATCCCATGGTGCTTCTTATTAAGATCAGAGGGCTTGCCCTGATGTATGTGGCAGGAATTTCCTTTCCTCCAGTAGACTGCCATGTGCCACTGAGTGGCTGCCGTCCATCCAGAGGCAGCTGTGTTCCAGTGACATTGTGTTTGTTTAGAATTTTGTAACCTAAACGTATTGGAAGTTCAGTGAAACAGGTGCCATCTTTTTGTCACAATCCCTGATGAGCACCTCTGGGCACCCCCACAGCAAATTCGAATAACAGTAAGTCATTTTGGATGACGCAGAATAGAGCAAATAAAACTAGTATTGAACAGAGCCATGTGAAACATTCATTGTTCTTTGAGTGCTGGACCTATCCCTTATGTACAATATTTCAGTTCTTAAATATTTACAAAGAAGCAAGAAGGATGATCTTGTGGGTTAAGTGTATAACTCAGTGCTGGGAGGTCATAAACTTTTAATCATAAACTCTGTGGGCCTCAGTTTCCCCATCTTTGAATTGGGATGACAATAATTGCCAGGCTCCCGCGTGCATATGGTACTTAGTGTATGTAAAGTGCATTGAGACACTTGGATTGAGGAGGTGGCTTGGAAGTGCAAATTATAGTTCTGTTCATTTCTTTCTCTCTCC